TCGCCCCCACTCTTCTGGGGCGAGCGACGGCGGTAAGGGCGCATACTCAGTCTTCAGACATTACTCACGTGACCGCGAACACGCGTCCGCTGTCGGAACGCGCGAGCGAATGGCGCCGCCTTTGGGCCATGAGCAAATGGATGTCAGAGACCATTCATTACGGTCACGCGCTCCATTTTCAGGCCGCTCCTCCTCCCTTCAACGGGATTGTGGAGACGACGTTCACATCACAAGTTCAGACTCAGACCCTGGAGCTGGAGCTGCGGGAACTTCTGTCCAAGGACGCTATTTCCCGAGTCCCTCGCGGACAAGAACTCTCGGGTTTCTACTCCCGCTACTTCGTAGTACCGAAGAAGTCGGGAGAAATGAGACCAATTCTAGATCTTTCCCTGTTCAACTGCTCCATAGCAGTGATGCATTTCCGCATGTTGACAATGAGGCAAGTCCTGGAATACATGCGTTCCGGAGACTGGTTCATGTCAATAGACCTGAAAGACGCATACTTCCACATCCCGGTAATTCCCAGGCACCGGAAGTTCCTGCGCTTCTCATTCAAGGGAGTTCAATACCAATTCAATCTCCTCCCTTTCGGCTACTCGCTAGCCCCGCGCACTTTCTCCAAATGTCTGGAGACCGCGCTGCAGCCGCAACGCGTGGCGGGAATGAGAGTTTTATTCTGCCTGGACGACCTGCTCCTGTGCGTTCGGTCCGAGGACGAGACGTCAGAACAGACCAGGAAGTTAACGGAGCATCTGTCAATCCTGGGGTTTTCTATAAACTGGGAGAAGAGCTCCATCCTTCCGTCCCAGTCGATTGTGTTTCTCGGGGTGGAGCTGAACGCCTCCCTGATGACAGCACGTTTGTCGCCGGTGAGAGCGGCAGATCTCATCGCGGTGATCTCCCGCGTGCAACCCCGCAGGATCGTGAGGGCCCTGTTAATCATGAAACGTCTGGGCATGATGGCTGCAGCCCACGCTGTGGTGTCGCTAGGGTTGCTGCACACGAGGCGCCTGCAACGTTGGTTTATCCGCCTTCGGGTGCACCCAATACGTCAGAAGGCACGTATGTTGAGGGTTCCCCCCTCAGTGGGCAGGGACCTCGCTCACTGGGGGAACCCCTGCACCCTTTCACACGGAGTTCCCATCGGATGCCCTGCGTCACACGTGGCTGTGTTTACGGATGCGTCGCTGTTGGGGTGGGGGGGCACGTGCTTGTCCCATACGGTGGCAGATCGCTGGCCCTCCCACACGCACGAACACATAAATGTGTTGGAGCTGATGACAGTGAGGAAGGTGGTCAGACACTTCGCTGCCCTTCTCGAGGGCCGTCATGTCGAAGTTCACACAGACAACCAGGTGGCGGCAGCCTACATAAATCGCCAAGGGGGAGTTCGGTCTCTTCCTCTGCTGCGTGTAGCCACAGATTTACTGTGTTGGGCACATGTACACCTGCTGTCCATCAAGGCCACCTACATCCCGGGGGTCCTGAATGTAGCAGCGGACATCCTGTCGAGAGGGGGACCCCACGACTCCGACTGGCGTCTGCATCCTGCGCTGGTGTCGCTGTTCTGGATCAGATTTGGGGTACCTTCTGTGGATCTGTTCGCGGCTCGAGAAAACGCTCAGTGTCGCCTGTGGTTTTCAATGATTCCCCGGGACCGACCCCCACTCGGGGCGGACGCCTTCTCACACCAGCCCTGCCCTCGAACGCTCCTCTATGCGTTTCCACCAGTCCCTCTGATTCCCCGTCTCCTGGACCGAGTTCGGTCAGAACAGCTTTCGGTGATTCTGGTGGCTCCCAGACGCCTGTCCGCGTCATGGTTTCCGGACCTACAAGCATTAGTGTCCGGCTCCCCATGGAGGCTGCCATGGAGGGAGGATGCCCTTCTCCAGGCAGATGGAATAATCAGACATCCTCCCGAAATAGGCCAGAGGCCTTGGGTCTGGCCGCTGAGCGGTCACGCTTAGAGGCTTCTGGGCTGCCGCATGATGTGGTGGCCACGATTCACGAGCGCCCTCTACCGTGGCATCTTACGCTGCTAAATGGGCAGCTTTCCAGAACTGGTGCACAGAACGGAATGTTCAAGTGCACTCCTGCCAGCTGGCGGAAGTCCTATCGTTTCTACAGGTACTGATGGACAGAGGCCTCGCATTCAGCACTATTAAGACATATGCTGCAGCTATCTCATCCTGTCATCAGGGCTTTGGAGATAGATCTGTTTTCAGTCATCCCCTCACGAAACGCTTTCTAAAAGGCGTCAGGAGGAACAGACCTGTGTCCCGGCCGCTGTTCCCCCAGTGTGACCTCACGGTGGTTCTACACGGCTTATCTAAAGCCCCATTTGAGCCCTTGGACCAGGGCGTACTCAAGTTCCTGTCACTCAAAACGGCCTTGCTGCTGGCTCTGGCATCAGTCAAGAGAGTGAGCGACCTGACCGCCCTCTCAGTGGCTCCCGCATGCCTCAGGATCTGGGAGGATGGCGGGTCTGCTGTTTTATGCCCCAACCCAGCCTTTGTGCCCAAAAGGATTACAGCTTCCTTCAAATCCAGGTCAATTTCATTGGCTGGTCTTTTTCCTCCTCCCCATAATTCTGATGAGGAGGCGGCTTCCCATCTTCTCTCCCGGTGCGCGCGCTCGCACGATATGTGTCATGCACTTCGGGGATTCGCCGCTCACAAAGCCTGTTTGTGCACTACAGGGAGTCTTCCCTTGGGCAGGCGCTGTCGACTCAGCGTCTTTCGCACTGGCTATGTGACGCCATTTCACTCGCTTACACATCATCAGGGCGGGATCCCCCTGAGACACTCAGGGCTCAGTCAGCCAGAGGGATTTCCTCTTCTATGGCGCTCCTCAGTGGTGTGTCAATGGAAGACATTCGTCAGGCTGCTTCATGGGCATCACCCTGTTCCTTTACTCGTTATTTACGAGATGTGTCTTCAGGTTCTGTCACTCGTTCGGTGCTTGGACCTCAGCAGGCTGAATGAAGGCTTTATGGCATCCCATCAGCCCCGCTTGAATGATTTTCATCCTTTTATGGATTTTATTTTTTAGTGGGGCTCCACTCTTATTTTTTGGCTGCCTCAGCCTTCGAGCCTGGGCTGAGGCTGAGCGCCCCTCCCTAAAAAAGGCGTGTTGGGTGTGTTCATTGGTTGAGCTAACCAGTGTGGCGTAAACCCATCGAGCTTCGCATTATTCCAATAGCAGCTCGCTTAAGGGCTAAGACTAGACGAAATAGAATGTTGGTTACGTATTGTAACCCCAGATTCTATGAGTCTAGTCGCAGCCCTTAAGCCACTGGCCCCACTGGTTCTGTTAGGACTAAGAGCCATCGGAGGCGAACAGTGGAGTCGCTCCACTTATATACCCACAAGGGGGCCCACTATTAGTGGGCGTACATTGAAGCTCTTCATGATTGGCTGATGCGAAGATCATCCTTCCAATAGCAGCTCGCTTAAGGGCTGCGACTATACTCATAGAATCTGGGGTTACAATACGTAACCAACTGTCTACGTAGGGGGCGGGCGTATTACGTGAACGGACCCATCTGATTGGCCGCATATCAGAAGAGCTACATTTGATTGGTCAAATAATACTTCCGCGTAAAAAACAGAGCTGGTTTACAAAAAGTTGATGTATGACATGGATGGAAATGTTTGAACCAAACATTTATCGCCATTTTTGACGTGATTTGCGATGGGCCTATCGCACGTCCTGTTATCCCAATGACGATAATTTTTCAATATATTGTGCAGCCCTAGTAAGGAGACAAGATTATTTATAATAGGTTACACTTATTTACAGATCAAAACCAGTATGGACCAGTTACGTACGGTTAAAGCAGGATTGAAAGTCTCAGGACCCTCGCATTATGAATGCTCTCCGGAAGCCCAGGAAATACATTCCAGAACAGCCTCCTCCCATCAACCACAGCCTGCAAGATGAGTGAATGCCATCTTTTGCAGTTGAAATAGTGTGTGGAATTGTCTAGGTGCAATGACAGGGATTTGAGAGCCATCAATAGCACCCACACATTGTGGCAGCCCCTACCTGATTTAAAAGTAGGAAGCTATTTCCCTAAAACTATCAGCATCAGGTAATTGAATTCGTTCAGGCACCAATAATGTCACTGCTGCTGCATAAAACTCCTTGACACACATGCACACAGTTGAGACACCAAACATGGCACTGATGGTTCACAAAGCACAGGAAGTTGGTTTCTTCATTCTGAAGTGCTCCAACCACTGTGCTTCCATGAGACGAGGAACATCTCTCTCCCAACACTGAGAGGATCTCGTGTGACCAGATTTCACGCTTGCAGATGGAATAGCACTCCAAGAGTCACCTAAAACAAAATGACACTTATTTTAAAAATGTAAAAACAAGAAGCTAGATATACACCAATATTTATTAACAAGCACTTACTGTGATGCACTATCTGCATCTCCATCGCTGCTGAAATATCTGCTGTAATACTTGCTCCTGTTTCTGAATGGCTCTCTGTATTATTCCTTGATAGACCATATACCTATTCTGAAGGGTAGGCAATGCCCTTCGATGCCCTCTGGCTTGTTGTGCATGCCTCTCATGGAGTTGGTTTCCCAAAACTAGCCACAAACGAATTACCAAAACTATGATCGCAATGAGGGTCTCCATTGTTGTGATCAAGACCTTAAGGGTGGCACACCTGTATGACATCACATCTTCTCTGCGCCAAGTTTTAGCACCAAAAGTGGTGGACATCCCTAATTATAACTGCTCATCTTCACAGAGGCCAAATGGTTTTTCTGAAGTTGGACGAGGGGAAAAAAGAAAAGAAAAAACTTTTCTCACATGCTCTCTCTCTATGGGAGTGTTGCTATGAATTCATCCAGTGCTGTTTATCTGCAGAATTTAGTGTTGGTTGATAATTATGAATTAAAATGGTCCCATCTGAGATTTCTGACTGTTGAATTCTAAGGGCAGAGGCCAGCAAGTTGTTACAAAAGAGCCACAAAAATGCCAGGAAGAGCTTTCAAAAACTAACAAGTTTATATATTCTTTTTTAATATCAGATGCAAGTCGATGAAACATGTTTGAGGATATTTTTATACAGTTAAGGTTGTGTATCACACAAAAATCAGGAAACGCTCACACTCAAAGTTAAAAAGAGGACAGGGGTATGAAGCGATTGCAGTCTGGTGGGAAAAATTAAAAGTCGGTAAGTGACCGTCAAACCAAATGGAGAGGGGGGGGGGGCTCAATATAAAAGCAAGATCAAATGTTTCTCTTTAAACTCCAGAAGATGTCAGAGCAAGCCATGCTGGTGCAGTGGGGTTGATGAAACATTTACAAGATACTGGGAAATTTCACATTCGGCTGCCTTCACACCCTGGTCACACAAAGGCTGCAACATGAAACAATCAAAAAGTATATACAAACTCCAGTAAATTCCCACTATTAACCTCAGTTATACATGTAATCTTTGTTGAAGCCTCTCTATGGAAACTTACAGTTTTAATAATAACTGCTAAGTGTTCAATGAAGTGTTTACCTGAGGAAATGAGAGGAACTTTCCTGACTTGAGCTCAAATTAAGCTAAAGCAGCAGTGGCATGTGAGTAAATATGAAGAAAAAAAACCCAGCCACACTGTAAAGAGGACTTCATCCATTCACAAGTAAAATGTAGTAACAAGCCCACAGTAAATGCAGGTCACACTATAACCCCGGCTTTCCACGGGAGCCGTCAGCAGCACGTTACTGCAGCAGCACGTCATAGCTGCTGATAGGAACCGCTGTGGTCAACAGAACCTTTTCCACTGGAGCCGTCGGCAGCCGTCAGCAGCGCGAGTCGGCCGCGTCTCAGGAGCAGCATGTCGCGGCCTTTACGCGCCGGTTCTATTTTCTACGCGCGACGCCTCTGAAACGGGTCAAGTTCGACATTTCTGGGGAAGGAAAGACAGGAAATCGGACGCGGAAATGGAGAGAAGCTACAGAGATTTTCAGAATAAAGAACGTGCTGCCTTCCGGTTGCTTTACTTTTAAAAAAGGTTACTAACTGTGCGTCCCCGTGAGAAGTTATCACCTAGCTAGCGGTCTCCTTTGTTTTTCAGGTCCGTATTGGCGATTATAAAACGGACAGAACATAAAACACAAACCATGTTGTAAGCTTGTTATTGTGTTTACTGACGAAGTCACTCGTGTGACTTCGTGCTCGGTCGGTGACAGCTGCTCCCCTGCTGCTTCGCATCTCGTGGGAAGGGCCAAGCAGCAGCGTACGCGAGCAAGACGTGCTGCTGCAGTAACGTGCTGCTGACGGCTCCCGTGGAAACCTGGGGTAACCCCGGCTTTCCACAGCAGCCGTCAGCAGCACGTTACTGCAGCAGCACGTCATAGCTGCTGATAGGAACGGCTGTGGTCAACAGAACCTTTTCCACAGGAGCCGTCAGCAGCGCGAGTCGGCCGCGTCTCAGGAGCAGCATGTCGCGGCCTTTACGCGCCGGTTCTATTTCCTACGCGCGACGCCTCTGAAACGGGTCAAGTTCGACATTTTTGGGGAAGGAAAGACAGGAAATCGGACGCGGAAATGGAGAGAAGCTCCCGAGATTTTCAGAATAAAGAACGTACTGCCTTCCGGTCGCTTTACTTTAAAAAAGGTTACTAACTGTGCGGCCCCGTGAGAAGTTATCACCTAGCTAGCGGTCTCCTTTGTTTTTCAGGTCCGTATTGGCGATTATAAAACGGACAGAATATAAAAACACAAACATTTTGGAGCCATGTTGTAGTTTTCTCCTGCTTGTTGTTGTGTTTACTGACGAAGTCACTCATGTGACTTCGTGCCCTGTCGGTGACAGCTGCTCCTCTGCTGCGTCGCGTCTCGTGGGAAGGGCCAAGCAGCAGCTAGACGTGCTGCTGCAGTAACGTGCTGCTGACGGCTCCCGTGGAAACCCGGGGTAAGGCTACCATCACAGATTTAAATCTCTGAATCACAAGGCGTGCTAGCTTAATATACACAAATTGAAGCCATGGCACGATTGGGAGAAACGTCTAACTGTTAAAGTTAAGGGAGTGTTAATTATGGTTTCTGTGTAAGAAGCTGTTTTGATGAAAAACAGTAACAGAACACATTTTACAGTATTAAACTGCATATTTTGTCTTTGCCATTTTTTTTTTTAATTATACACACAGACTGAGACAAATGGCTTTAATAATGCGGAAAACTCTTGCTGGTGCATTCAGTCAGGAAAAAAAGAGAGAAAGAAAGAGAAAATTGCTCCATTGCTAATGAATCAACCCATTGCTCTGCTGATAACAGTTGCATCAGCCTTTGAACTACGTGAGGACTTTAGTACAATAGGGAGAAGTAATGATCACAGAGCTCAGTTCAGGATTGACCTCCGCACTTTGACTTCCCTTCACCAGAAAATAATAAGCTTCCAATAGCTACTCAACTACTCTGGGTTATGATAAACACAAGAGTATTACTATCCTGAAAGAAGAATTTATCTAACCCATTTACTCAGACACTAAATCCATTTTTATTTATTCAACTGTTTGTCAAAAAATATATAAACATAAAAGAAATAAAGTAGTCATCCAACTCAATCAACAAAGCCCAACAAAAACATACTTTAAAAGGATAAACCTATATCGCTGCAGGCATCTACAAATACATTTCAGTGATTTTGATTCTCACAGGAGCTCATTTGTGAGGATAATCTGACTCCTCATTCTTCTACAGGTCCAATCAACCCCGTTGGACTTGAAGTCAAGCTGGAGGGTCGGGGTTGGATTTCAGGATGGCTAGGGCTGTCCTAGAGGAGCATTGGGGTGAAACCTTAATGTTTATTATAAACAGGCCAAAGGGCCAAGGATACAGAACAAAGGTTCCTGGAAATCCAGAGAGCTCCTGGGAACTTCATCCATGGTGAAGAATGAATGCGATATCAAAAGTAGATCTGCTTGGCATGTGACGGGTTCTGCTCCATGGGGCAATAGGGGCATTTCAACCTGAGGAGGAGGAGATCAAAAAGTCACTACAAAGAGACTGCATTCTGATCGGTTACTACCTAAAACAAAGCAGCAGAATGATGGTTACGTATAAACCAGACTCTGAGTACGGGCTTCGTCCTTTACGACCTTGTAATCGGTCTTTGTCAGACACGTGACCTGCATGTCCTTGCCTTGCCAGGGACAGCCACAGCTCAAGTTTAGGAAGCACAAGAGTCAAAAGGATGGATAAAAACAAGAACCAATGCATCCCTTACAGGGATAAACTTGTAAAGGAGGATATGGATTGGTATTTTCAGAAATTTTCTACAATTGACGTTGTATAGCACTTTCACATATGGGCCAGCACAGACCAGACTGGGTAGCTTTTAAAGTGTTCATATTGTAACGTCCAGGTCAGTTTTCACCTACATGTTGACCTACACGCCACCGATCACCTAAAAACCTAATTCCATCCTCTAAGGTGGATTTTACATTCCATCTCCCAACAAGCCAGAAGGATACTGCAGTGCTTGATGACATTTCAGGGGGAACAAGATGTCAGCCTGTGTTCCCAAACAAAGCTTTCTTTTAATAAGACCACAGGATTGCTCACTCTCATGAAAGGGGAACTTTTACAACCCATAAGTTAAATAATAATAATATGGTTGAATGAACAAATGTTATATGAATACTAATGCAATGTTTTGATTAATCTGTGCTTAAATTACTGTGGTTGAAATGAATTTTATTATTACAATGAAACATTTTGATGTTATGATCAGTAATGTTTAATTTATATCTTATGAACATTGTGTATGAGTGTAGATAGAAGTTAACGTCACTGCACATAGATATTTTTCTTACCCACAAATCAGAGCATCCTGTATCTGAAAGAAGGCGTGATGTTCTGAGGTTTGTTAACACCCCTTAACATGGCACATCCCAGTTGGCAGAGATCATAATATGAGAATATTAAAACAGAATCACTTACAGAGTGATTCAGCATTCTGTTAGTTTGAGCAGAACTCTGAACTGGCCACCGGAGGAAACTCTCTAACCACCGCCTCTCTTGACAAGCTTTCGACAAGCTAAAAGCTGCCTACAGCTGACACAGCAAAACGGTTCCTTCAGTTATTCAGAAACAGCCGCTCTAGATGCAAACTAGTTCCAACCTGTTTTGCCTGGCAACATCTCTGGACTAGAGCGTCGGTGCTGCGGTTAACCTACTGAACCTCGGTGCCCAGAGGTCACCCGACCTTCCTGACCTCTGGATCTGTGAACAGGGTCTCCAAAGATAGGGTGAGGTAGACAGCATGATTGCGTCTGATGCCATTTTGATAAGAACCAACTTCATAGTTTAATGCAAACCAAATTCTTTTCACACCCAAAACTCAGTTATTCTAGATACAAGGTTCTGGTAAACACACACACCATTCAATCACCATACATCACATCCCTTTCCACTTAGATTCATCCATCACAGTCGTCTTAGTTAACTTGTCTTGTTTTTATTTGTTTCAAAAATAAATTTTACCTTTTATAAACCTGACTTTGTCTGAATTGATATGAAGTGTTTGATCACTGAAAAAGCAAAGAATCCTAGAATCTTCTGATTAAACACTCAAAGATCAAGCAGGTTGATATTCTATATTTATATAGAATATCACAGCTTATTGTCATAAGGTAATAAAGCTCAAAAGCAACTATATTTAACCCTACAATATCTAGTTAGCCTTTAATTTTTCCGCGCTCAACCAGCTGGTTTTTCGGCCCACATACCAAGGAGGTTTGCTTCAGGCTGAACAGATCCAACACACCCTCTATCAACTGATTGGCTGGCTCAAATACATACCTACCGTTAGAGGGAGCCTCCGATTGGTGGATTGAATCAAGCAGTGGAAGCTTCCCAGATACGCAATTCATCATCATTCCAGATACTGAGAAGTCAACGTCACCTCTGACTGAAGCTGTGTCTCTTCTCACTGCAGTGAGGAGCGCGCGCGCACACACACACACACACATAGAAACAGACTGAAGCAGCAGCCCTTTCTTCTCACTTCCGTGAGGAGCACACACACAAACACACACACACACACAAACACATGGCTGCACAGTCGTTTAAGGGAGACGCCACAGACTTTTCCGCGTGTCTTTGGCCCCGCCCATATGCTTGGAGATTTCCCAGTTCCTGAGAAGTGTATGAACAAAACCTACCGGTGCAGGACCTGGACCTATGCCACCCAGTCTGGTCCATGCTAGCCCAGATGTGAAGGCGCTAGTAGATCCTTATGAACTCAAAGGAAACAAATGGAGCTCAGCCATTTCAGTACTTCCAAAAATATATCACTAGATTAAGAGTAGTACTACTTCAACATATTTATAATTAAGTTAAAGTAAAAAGTAGCCGCCCACAAACATTACTCAACACAGGTGCTGTGCCAGGTTCTAATTTTTGGATGGGTCTTAATTGTTTGAATGCTGTTAAGAATTCAAACAATTGTTTTCCTGTTTATCTTTATTCTTCTTCTTATTCTGCTTCCGAACACATAGTGAACCTTTTCAACTCCTTCAAATTTTTAACAATTTCAACAATTTTATATCAAAACGTTCAGCTCGTTAAGCTCTTTCCAGCTATTACTTTTGGCATTGATATCTTTAAAATTTTTTGAATTATTAAGCTTTTTCTGCGAAAAGTTTCCCATTAAAATGAATGGGATTGGTAAATTAATTTTAGCAAATTCCTATCACTTTTTTTTTACCTAAAACTATTGGGTTCCCTTTAACTCAGAGACTTCATTCAAAGTTCAACAAACTCACAAGACTTTCCTGTTTAACATATTAAAGAGGCTTTTTGATATCTTTTACGGTTTTTCTAAAATCGCAGGTAGAAGTTGAGGTACGACTTGAAATTTTCAGAAAAATTTACAAAAGTTATAATGGGGAAAGATAGGAGCAGTGACCCTCCCTTGCTTCATTTCCGGCATTGTCCCGAGAGAACCGTGTGGTTCGATTGAAATGAGACACATGCTGGCTTACAGCTAACGAATATACCTTCGTTTTAAGCTATAATTCATGACTGTACTCCAAACATTGTGGTCGTACGGTTCATTTGTTTGAGAAAATTCAAATTTAAAAAAATGTTACCCACCACTCTAAACTGAAAATTCCACACTCTAACTTTTGAACTTCACATCTTCTGTGAACAACTCTTTACGACCAGGCGCGTTGCAAGATTTTCAAAAGTGTGGGGGATGTTGTCTGAGCCTAAAATAATTTCATGTTATTAATCTTGTTAGTTTAATTTCCATAATAGCGGAGCAGGTGCGAATTTTAGACGTTTCACGCACGTCTCCGTTTTAAACATGTTTAAACTGTTCAGAATACAAATCCAGGCTCTGTCTCGTTAAATTGGTGTAACTAAAGTTTGTACTGAATGAAATTTTACATTAAACCATGTTGAAAAGAAAAGGATCCGATTAAATCGTTTCCCCCTCATTTACAGTCAGGAAGTACAGCGCAGTGCACATGGCTCTGGAGTTAATCAGGTTTAGTTGTTTCTCTTTGCAACAATCTTCACAAGAAGGCAAAACAGTTAAATGGCAGCTTACAGATATTTACATTTGACTGTTTATTTTGACGGATAAACTCAAGGATGCTGGTTGTTTTGGAAGAATTACCCCGACGCACACTGATGTGCACACAGATGAGCTGACATTTTAATCGTTACGCACATCGCAGAGGTAACTAAATCAATCAAGAAATGATTCCCATCAGAACATCAGAGCTTTTATACTGGACACTGTGCTCAGCGCGGCTCGGAGCGCCCACGGTGGACAGTGGGCTGAAGATCTGTAGAGGGGTTCGCAGCGCAGCGCAGAACCACGGCGATGCGGGAAGATTTCCTCCCACTGAAGCAGTCTGGAAACCCAGTCTCTCTGAGGGATGTGTCACTTGGAAAAATGTTCGCTGATTATGAAACTTTGGCTGAATAGCGCTTGTTCCCGTCTGTAATATGGAGACACATGACGCATCCAGTCTGAGGCAGAATAGCCTCTTCAGCTCAGAAAGCACCTGTAGAAACATTTGATCATGCACAAAGTTTATGTGGAGCAGAAGCGGTCGGGCCACGGCAGGTGAAATGTTTCTAGCCTACATGAAGTGAAACTGTTTAATTGTAACATTAATATGTTACTGGACACGCTGGTCTGGTTGGTTAGACCAGTGTTGCAAGTGGAAAACACACACACACACACACACACACACACACACACACACACACACACACACACACACCAATTAAAATAATGCTGATAGCATGGACTAGAAGACAGGTGATGGTTTACGTATTTAAATGATGATCAGGCTGCTGTAAAATGTAATCTCCATCCACATCCAGACAAAATTATCCTCTATTCTGTCTCTATTTGCTCTGCTCTTGTCTGGGCTGACATAGCTGACAGGTGCGCGCGGCGCGTCTAGCGGCTGTGGTACACATTTTACGCATTTGGAGTGGTGGGCTGGATGCTTTGCTTTTACTGGTAGATGGATTTTTCCCCCAAAAAATGTCGGAGATTTTGCCCCATGAATAATATAAAAACTACTGGTGTGCACGTACCCTTATGAAAGAGTGCTACGTTGAGAGGTAAATATTAGAAGTGCAGGTAATGCTCTCTGGTGCCAATAAATGAAAAAATGAATGAAAACTAAATTGAGAGTTTTTACTTCATATTTTAGAAATAAAAATGACGGGGGACAACATTTATGACGTCTTTTTAAACTGAATTTTCTATCGTGACCTGCCTACTTCACTTAAGTCACTGTTTATTAAAGTCTGTCCAAATGAAAACCTGGCGCTGCGCCATAAACCTCTGCAAATTGTTGTTCTTCACTTTATCAAACTCAAGAGTATGTACAGCTAATGTTAATATGTAAAATTATTAATTCAGTCGAGCTCTTCCCTCCCTCCCCTGTTTCTCCTTGAAACCCGACAGCCGATGCCGGGTTTCAAGGAGAAACAG